CGGCTCTGAAGGCTCTGCCTAAAGCTCACCACTGTCTGGTTGAGAGAGGCCGCCCGGCCAACGCAACCCCCACGGGGCTTGGTGCTCAGGCCAGGGAGCAGGTGCCTGATCCTGGGCACCAGGCCGGCCCTTCCTGCTAGACCCTGACTGTCCCCATAGCTCGCTTCTGGAAGAAGAGCCTCCGGGTTGGCTCCTTCGTGCCTCTGGCCAGGCTCCTACTTGCCGCGGGGGTGGGATGTTGGGCGGGGGTGTGGAGTGTCGGGGACCTGGGAGCAAGTGTCCAGGCTCAACCCGTCCCTGCTGCGCACACAGCCCTTGCTTTCCCCACTCCCGGAAGGGTGCCGAATCCCACTCCCTGCCCCTTTCGAATTTCCCACTTGGGGAGTCGCCGGCAATGTTGCCAGGGGGTCTGCCTCGTGTGGGCCGAGCCTTTCGGGGCCGCCCTTGTTGGCCCAACCTTGGGCCAGGTCCCGACCTACAAGGTCTGAGCGGTCCCCAGCCCCAGGTGGTCTCGGTGGAGCCCTGTGGCCCGCAGCCCAGGGACCCCGTGCGGGAAGGCCCCGGGGCCTGTCTCTGCACACAGGAGGACCCGTCCAGCGGGGAGGGAGGCCGAGGAACAGGGCGTCCCCGGGCCGCCAGGTTCCCGGGGAGAAGGGCGGAAAACAGGCCTCGGTCCCCTCTGTCCGGAGGAGGATGGCCCTGTCGAGGGACCGACGCCGAGTGGGCATGGAGCCCCTCTGATCCTTGGCACGAGAGGGGCCCGCCGGGATGCCGCGGGGCCTGGCACCCAGACTCTGTTCGGCGGGAGCCAAGGACAACGAACCCCAGCTCTGACTCTGCCCTGCGGCGAGGCGAGGCCCCAGCGTCCCTCTTCCTCGCCCGGCTCCCGTACCCCATCCCGGGGACATTCGCCCTCCTGTCTGCCAGCTGCTGCCCCTGACCGGGTGGCCGCTGCGGCCTTGCCTTTCCCACGCCCCACCCCCACCCCCCACCCCCCACCCCCCACCGGTTTTCTTGGTGGCCGGGCCTGGGGCCTCCGACGTGGCCTGGGGTCCCGCGTTCCCCGTGTCCCTGGCCCCGGCCCCGCGGGCCCCCCGCGGGCCCACGTCGCTCGCGCCCGCGGAGTGGGCGACGAGCCGCGGGCCAGACGCCCCCCGGGCGCGAGCTTCCGCCCCGCGTGCTGGAACGTGAACATGGCGGCCGCCGAGGCCACGCCCCCCGCGGCCCGGGGAGCCCCCGCGCGGGCCCCGCCCCCCACGGGCCTGGCTCCTGGGCCCGGGGCTCGTCGGTGGGCGAGCCCGGCCCCAGCGGGATGACACCCGCATCCAGCCCCGGAGTCCTCCGAGCGCCCCGAACCAGCCCGCCCTTCCTCCCATCTCGGGCCTTGCCCACGCGAGCCGCGGCCGGGGCCTTGAGGCCCGTGCTCAAAACGCTCCCGCTTGATGGCACTGTTGCTCCACGGATGCCAGCCACCCTTGGGCGCCCGGCCGCTCCCTCCGCCCTTTGCGCGTCAAAAAACGCCAGCGAAGGCCCCTAAGCCCTCCCAGCCCTCCCAGCCCTCCCAGCCCTCCCAGTGGGGTTGGCCGTCCTGGGGGGATTGCGGGGGGGCGGGGGGGGGCGCAGGGGGCGCCTCTCTTTCCTTTCGGGGCTTCTTGTCGGGAGGAGGATGGTACGGAGAAAGACGTCCAGAGGCCTCCATGCCGCTGTGGACCCACCTCCCCATCTCTCTGGGAGCTTTAAGGCCGCCTCTCCTGGCGGCAACGCGGACCCCGCGTCCCCTGCACACTTGCCCGTGGACATCCCTCCACGAGGGTCTTCTCGGGCAGAAGCCTAGAAATCCTAGAATCCCAGAAAACTGGATTCGTGGCCCGAGGCCCGGCACTACCCCTCTCTCTGCTCCTGGCCTCCTTGCTTCTCCCGCTCTCCTCCAGCTGCCTCAGCTGGCCTCGGGGCTCAGGAGCAGGCCCCAGAAGGAGTAGGCCGCTGAGGCAGCAGGTGGAAGCGACAGGGACCCCGGCAGGTGGCAAGACGGGCAGGCGGACTGCCCGTGCTCCCCGCAGAGCATCTCAGGCAGTCACTCTGTGTCCCTGAGCGCCCCAGGGGGTTTCTGGTGGGGAGCTGGGGAGAGGAGTCCGTGGGACAGGTGGACATCCCACAGGCAGCTGACCCCGGTGAGGCCCCCTTTGTGCGGGAGCCCCTTCTGTTTGAGCTGTCCTGGAGCCTGTCTCTCCTGTACCCTGCCCCTTCGTCTCCCCTGCCCCTACCCATTTCTTCCTTCCTTTGGTCATTCTTTCATTCTTTTTTCATTCAGTGTTAAACAGACATGGTTTTCCGTGTACACACACATTCATGTGTATGTATGTATCTGTTTGTGGGCGTGTATAGATGTATGTTCGTATACAGTTATTATTTCCCTTCCCCTGTAAACTTCCCTGGAACTGCCTTCTATATGCCATTTTGGATGGAAATTTCTCCTGATCCCAGTACTAAGCCCTCACCTTTGCATACTCAGTATTCGTTGGACAATTCCTGTGTTAGAGAAAGAGAGGAATGCATGCTCAGAGAAATCGACGACAAAGGAGACAAGCAATCGTGTCATGTTCTCTTCCCTTCTGTCGTGTCCGATCTCCTCCCAACATTTCTACAGCCTCGTGAGATCACTTGGCATCGCGACTCTGTTGCTTCAGCCAATCTGTGCTGGAAAGGCCAGTTTCCCAAGTCGCGGCCTTAGTCAGAGCAAACAGCCAGAGTGTGGCCAGTTAATGACAGCAGGGGCATGTGTCCCCACCATGCTTTTGTGTTTACCAGAAAGTAACCCATAGGCCTCTCCCCCTTTTGGCATATGCCTAACTTTGCCACATTGGAGCACCAATACCCTTATCTCAGGAAATTACATGTTGGGTAATCTGTGTTTGGCCAGAGAAGTGATATTCTGTCTCTGCTTACCCAAGAATCAAAGGAGCTGCTGCTCCTTTGATGACCTGTTTCCCTTTCTGCCAAGAAAGTAATGGGTTTTTCAAGATAGTCGTTTATATCTCACCATAGTTACAGAAGTATGGATGAGTAGCCTGATCATGGGCTTTTATCTCTTACTACGTACCCCTTCTTGTGGCCAACAGTGCATTGATCTTGTTTGGCCATGTGTCTTCAGAAGTTTTCCTGTTTGGTGGAACCCTAGTGGATTGCCATCCTGAATTCTTGGGGTCAGGATGATACCATTGGTGGTGGTGGCAGCAGGTTTTGTTTTGCTCTGTTCAGCTCCTACATGAGCTTTTAGAGTAGTACCTAGAAGTAAAAGCCTTCGGCTCAAATGGAGCTTGCCAGATAATTCCAATAGAAAATGGTCCTTGTCATTATGAGCCAATGTTCAGGGCAGGAGGAGTCCATATTGCTTGCGATGAAACTGGGTTGGTGGGATGTGGGAATGATTGGTAATCATCTGGGATATCTTTTTGTTGTGATGAAAATGTTCTAAAATTGCTAACATTGCTAATAGGTGCAGAACTCTGTGAATATACTAAAAACCATTGAAGTTTTCACTTCAAAGAAGTGAATTTTACAGAATGTTTTGCAGAGAATGCCATATTCAGATGGAGTTTTAAGAAGAAACTGCTTAAATCAACAACCACTTAGAAATCAGAAAAAGATCAGCCAACTAAACCCAAAGGTAGCAGAAACAAGAAAATAATAAAGATTAAGGCTGTGATAAATGAAATAGAGAACAAAAGAATGAAGGAAACTAAACGTTGGTTCTTTGGAAAGGTAATAAAATTGTCATATCTTTAACTAGACTGAATAGAGAAAATGTGATAAACTAAAATTAGTAATGCAAGTGAGATGTCACTCATGATCCAACAGAAATTAGAAGGGTGATACAATTATATTATGAATAATTATGCACAACAAATTATATAGTTAGGTGAAATTACCAGAAACACACAAATTACCAAAGGTAACTCAAGGCAATATAGAAAATTTAAACTGAACTATAATAAGTAAAGGAATTAAGTATGCAATCAGAATCATTTCAACAAGTGTAAACCCTGGACGACATCTCTTTCCTTGTACCAATCATTTAAAGAGGAATTAACATCAGTCCTTCTCAAATCTTCCAGAAAACAAAGGATCAGGGAATACATCTGTATTAGTTAGGGTTCTCCAGAGAAATGGAGCCATATACAGAGTGAGAGAGATTTATTTTATGGAATTGGCTCATGTGATATTGGAGGTTGAGAAGTACAAAATCTGCTTATTAGGCTGGCATGCTAGAGACCCATGAAAAAGTTCACGTTGCAACTGCAGTCAGTGTGGAGTTCGAGTTCCCCCTTCCTTGGAGGACCTCTGTCTTTTTTGTTTTAAGGCCCTGAATTGATTGGATGAAGCCCACCCACATTATAAATAGTAACCTGCTTTAATTATTGAAATGTTAATCTCATCTAAACAATACCTTCACTTCAGCATTTAGACTGGTGTTTGACCAAATATCTAGGTGGTATGGCTTAGACATGTTGACACATAAAAGTAATACAGCATCCTGTGTCATTCTTTGTGACCAGCATTACCCTGATACCAAAAGCAGGGCAACAATAACACAAGAAAACTATAGATCAATATCTTGTATGAATATACACATAAAAATCCTCAACAATATACTGGCAAACCTAATCCAACAGCATATTAAAAGATTATAGACCAGGAACAAGTGAGATTTATTCCAGGAATGCAAGGCTGGATAAACATAGGGAAATTAATCAATGTAATATACCTATAAATATAATGAAGGTGAAAAACCACATGATCATCTTAATTGATGCAGAATAACCACTTGACAAAATCCAGTACCCTTTTATGATAATGCTCAATAGAAAAGGAATAGAAAGGAACTTCTTCAACATAATAAAGGGCACATGTGAAAAACCCACAGCTAATGTCATACTCAGTGCTGAAAGACTGAAGTCTTTCCCGTTAAAATCAGGAAGAAGACAAGGATGTCAGTTATCGTCAGTTCAAGATTTTACTGGAAGTTGTAGCCATAGCAGATAGGCCAGAACATGAAATAAAAGGCATTCAAATTGGAAAATCTTTTTGCAGATGACATGATACTAATACATCTAGTATGCCAAAGAATCCTCAAAAAGATACTAGCACTAATAAACAAATGTAATAATGGTGCAGAGTAAAAGATCAACATGTAATAGTCAGTTCGGTGGGTCATAAATGCAACCACATGTATTCACTCCTGGAAGAGGGAAGTTTATACACAGACACTGGGAGAAGGCAGTGTGAAGACAGAACAGAGATATTCCATGAACCAAGGAATGCCAAAAATGCTGGAAGCTGGAAAAGGCAAGAAAGAGATTGTCCCCTAGAGCCTTCAGGGAGTGTGGCACTACCTACACTGTTATTGTGGACTTCTGCCCTCCACAACTGTGAGAGAGAAATTTCTGTTTTTTATAAACCACCCAGCTTGTGGGAATCGTTATGGCAGCCTTAGGAAACTAACACAATTATCTTTACACCACTTTAATTCTCCTTTGCCGTCTACATAAATTTGATATTGTCTATGGAGTTTCCAATTACTGAGATACTGAACTGAAAGAGAAACATAAGATGGTGAGTTCACAAAGGAAAGCAAGAGTCAGCGGTCGTATTCTGTAATATTATACCATACTTGTGCACAGCTATGCAGTTATTTGCATATTAATGACTATTGGGGGCTAGAAGGTGCCAAAAACCTCTAGTCAAAATTTTGCCTTTGACCATTTGATTCTCTTCATGGAGAATCAAGTCATGCAGTTCAAGAATCAATACATGGAGTTCAGGTTTATACATTTATTTCTTAAGTTAGAGCAGGAAGTAATCCTTGTAGGAGGTCCCCAAACAAAGGTGATAGTGGTGGATGTGGTATATCACTTAGTCGAGGTAAAGGAGTTGGAGGAGGAGAAGGACCAATTCCTGCCGGTAGAGGTGCCACTGGTAGAGCTGGTGATGGGGACGGCCCTCCACCTGCCTGTGGATGCGGTAGAGGTCCTGGAATTTATGAGCAACCTGCAAGTCCGTGCTCCTGTAATATAAATAATCCAATGTTTAAATGCTTGCAGTAGAATATGCAGCCCAGAATACATAGCAATAGGCGTTTGTAGTTTCTTATAGATTATACACTGCTTATTGATTTATCAGCATTCAGGGACTTAACAATCCATGCAAAGAACTTGTATATTTGATGAGCATTTTAAACACTGCACCATGACTACTTCTGTTAACCCTCTAATGCTAGGAGAGTTGGCATCCTTATCAAAGGCCTTGTGAAATACTACTCCAAAATAATCAAAACTTAGATTTCATGATAAACATATGCAAAGAAGAATTACTCTATATGGCTTGGGCCTGGTGGACTAGTATCAAATATGGATAGTCCAATGTCATGGTTTGATCCCTAAGGGACAAAGAGTCTGTCTTATAGCAGCACTGACGGAGCTGTTTTCCGATACCAATAATTAATAATAATATCCATTTGCATAGGAATAATGCTTATCAAAATTTTATCCTTATTTTTGATCCTCTTTATAACCCTGTAATGTAGGTAAGTAGTTTCATCTCACTACTTATAGAAGAAGAAACAAACTCCAAAAGTTTAAGTGACTGATCAAATGTCACCTAGTTCATTTGAAGCATGATTAGGATTTGAATGCAGTTCTTCTCACACCTAATTCAGTTCCCTTTCTGATGTAGCAGACTAACTCCTCATAAATGTATGCCATGTATCATGAGCTGACAACAGAACTGTGGGGAAAGCTCCATTGGGGGCTAACAAAGGGGAGAGAGCCTGGCTTAGTTCTGAGATGTGAAAATGGGACGATTTAAAAAATGAAAGCATTATTGAAAGGAAATCATCCAATATTACAGATATAGTGAGGCAGAATGAAGCTAGGGATAGGCCACCAGATTGGGTCACTTATAGTTCACTATTGACGGTTTTTTTTCTTGGTGAGGAAGATTGGCCCTGAGCTAACATCTGTTGCCAATCTTCTTCTTTTTGCTTGAGGAAGATTGTCACTGAGCTAACATCTGTGCCAATCTTCCTCTATTTTATATGTGGGATGCCGCCACAGCATGGCTTGATGAGTGATGTGTAGGTCTGCACCCAGGATCTGAACCCAGGAACCCTGGGCTGCCAAAGCAGAACAAGCAAACCCAACCACTACGCCACCGGGCCTGCCCCTCACTATTGACTTTTAACATAACTTTTTAGTAGAATGGTGGATACAGACCAATTTAAGAAACAAACACTTAGTGAGCATTTACTATGTTAAAATACACTCTGCACATTCTGCACATTCCTTCCAAACATGAGTTGTCTTGAGGAGGGCACTTAATCAGTTGTAAAGGATCAAACCATCTGCTTTTTTAAGTATCCTTGGGAGCTTTTGTCAAAGAATGTAGGTGGGAATGTAAAGTTTACGGGTTTCGAAATGATGGTAGTCAAGACTGCAGAGGTATACAAAAGAAGTAATTGCTACTTTCTTCATATTCCATCAAGACAAATGTTTTGAGAAGAATACTTAATCAGTTCTAAAGTTTTTTTTTCCTGCTTTATCTCCCCAACCCCCCCCCCCCCCCCGTACATAGTTGTATATCTTAGTTGCATGTCCTTCTAGTTGTGGGATGTGGGACGCCGCCTCAACATGGCCTGACGAGCAGTGCCATGTCTGCACCCAGGATCCGAACCCTGGGCCGCCGCAGCGGAGCGCGCGAACTTAGCCACTCGGCCATGGAGCCGGCCCCAAGTTTTAAAGTTTAAAATAAAAATATTTATTAGAATATTTCAAGTGTATAATGGGATCTTTTTGTCATAGATAATGTAAGTGGGTATGTAAAGTTTCCTTTTTTCAAATGATGGTAGTCGAAATTTAAAGAGATATAAAAAGCTTTTGGAATTATTAAAATTACTGGGGATTTTTTTGAAAGGAAATGCTGTGCCCTGATTTTTTTAATCATCATGAAAATCTCAACAGTTTTGCTTCTATTACATATTCTGTCACAACATTCAGGGCAATTTAAAAAAACCAATGAGGGCGCCAGCCCCCTGGCGTAGCGGTAAAGTTCGCCCACTCTGCTTCGGTGGCCTGGGGTTTGCCAGTTTGGATCCTGGGCATGGAGCTACGCACTGCTTATCAAGCCATGCTGTGGCAGGTGTCCCACATATAAAGTAGAGGAAGTTGGGCACAGATGTTGGCTCAGGGCCAGCCTTCCTCAGCAAAAAGAGGAAGATTGGTGGCAAATGTTAGCTCAGGGCTAATCTTCCTCAAAATAACAAAAAACAAAAATCTACAAGGAGATATCATCCCACAGCCATTAGAATGGCCATTGTCAAAAAAAGAAAAACCCAATGAGTTTTTTCTCCCACTTGAAAATAAATGATACATTATTTTGGAAAATCATATCTATAGTTATTTAAACTAAAATGTGTAATTGCCAGTAAGTCTCCTTTTGGTCACATTTTCTTCCTTTGGACAAGATAATTTTCTATCATTGACCTCACTGTGACGGGACAAAAAGAGTCTGTAGTTTGATTACCTTGGTTTGATGTTGCTGGAATTCTTTTCCAAGATCTTTGAGTTTTTATTCCTTTTGTTGCATCTTGTCTTGAGCTTACAGTCAGGTTCTGAATTCTTCATTTTTCTGCAATGATCACCACTATAAATGTACATATAATTTCAGGAAAACTTTAAATAATATTTTCTATTACATAAATGGAGCGTTTTTTGCCTGTTGAAGTCTCAGACACTCAGAAATTCGAAGAGTTCTTGATTATTTTCACGATGATTAAGTGCCCCTGTGGAAGTGTTGGGGCAGGGCTGGTGGTAGGTGAAATACGCCCCTGACCTAAGGTAAAAATCCCATTCCCACTTCTGGAAAACAAACAAATGAGAGGACCGAGTAGTTTCCCGTCATATATGATGGACACATTTATTGTTTTCCTGTTGAAAATTAAGTCTTAGACGTTAAGTAAAACCAACGAGAAAGTGAACCCTAAGAATAAACCATTAATACGAAATGCCGGTGAAGGTGCAGAGCCACAGGAGCTCTCAGTCATTGCCAGTGGAAATGCAAAATGTTCTAGCTACTCTAGAAGACAGCTTGGCACTTTTGTACAAAAGTAATCATACTCTTACCATAACATCCAGTAGTCCATGCTTGTTTGTATTTACCTGAATGAATTGAAAACATATATCTACACAGAAACCTGCACACAAATGTTCATAGCAGCTTTATTCATAACTACCAAAACTTCGAAGCAACCAAGAGGTCCTTCAATAGGTGAATGGATGAATAAACTGTGGTACATCTAGAAAATGGAATATAAATCAAATAAAAGAAATGAGCTATCAAGCTACAGAAAGACATGGAGGAACCTTAAATGCATATTGATAAGTGAGAGAAGCCACCCCGAAAAAACACATTCTGTAGGATTCCAACTCTGGGACATTCAGGAAAAGGCAAAAACTATGGAGACAGTAACGAGATCAGTGGTTCCCAGGAATTCCACACAAGGGATGGAGAGATGAATAGGTGGAGTACAGAGGATTTTTCTTCTTCTTTTTTGGTGAGGAAGATTAGCTCTGAGCTAACATCTGTGCCAGTCTTCCTCTATTTTGTATGTGGGTCACCGTCACAGCATGACTTTGATGAGTGATGTAGGTCCGTGCCTGGGATCCAAACCTATGAACCCTGGGCCATGAAGCTGCGCATGCTAAACTTAACCACTATGCCACCGGGCAGGCCCCCAGATTTTTTAGGGCAGTAAAACTCTTCTGTGTGATCCTGTAATGGTGGATACTTAGCATTATGCATCTGTCAAAACCCATAGAAGTCCAACACAAATATTGACCCCTAATGTAAACTATGGATTTTAATACCAGTTGTAACGAATGTACCACACTAATGCAAATTGTTAATAATAGGAGAAGCTGGAGGGGGATGTAGGCAAGGGATTGTATGGGAACTCTGTGCTTTCTACTTATTTTTCTGTAAACCTAAAACAACTCAGTAAAGTTTATTAATTTTTAGAAAACCTATCAAGCAGTTCAATTGTTAACTGGATAACCTTGAAAAGAGATTGCACTGATAGAATGCTCAAATGAGGGGCCTGGCTCCATGGCTGAATGGTTAAGTTCTTGTGCACCGCTTCGGCGGCCCAGGGTTTCTCAGGTTCGAATCCTGGGCGTGGACCTGGCACTGCTCATCAGGCCATGCTGAAGCAGCCTCCCACATAGCACAAGCAGTGGCACTCACAACTATGTACCGGGAGGCTTTGGGGAGAAGAAGAAGAAGAAGAAGAAAAAGATTGGCAATAGATGTTAGCGCACGTGCCAATCTTTAACAAAAAAAACTGTAGTATTTGGGAAAAAAAAAGAATGCTCAAATGAGTGTACATTAATACAAATTAGAATCTACTACAACCTTAATTGTCTAGCATCCAAAAAGAGGTGCTCCACAAAATCTGAGTGTAGAATGATATATGCCTTTTGAGGTGAATAACCAAAACCTTTTAAATAAAATGTTACGAGAGTGAAGGTGAGAGGGTAAAATACGGTTAAGCCAAAGAGGCTGTCTAAATGGGGGTGAATGGTACCAGAATACGCCATCCCAAAGCAGGCCTTTTTGCAACAGGGATTATTCTGAGCTAAAGGCCACTGAGAACCAGCCAATGTAGGAGAAGCTCCAAAAACAGGGCACAAGACTTCCTTTTGTAAAGGAAATTTCCATTTGTAAAAAGTGTCTCTCTCTCTCCCAGGAGGAGGAAGGCTTTTACTATCTCTTTTATTTTTTCCCCCAGTTTTTTTGAGATATAATTGACATAACATTGTGTAAGTTAAAGGTGTGCAACGTGATTTGATATACATATATCTTGTGAAATAATTACCACAATAAGGTTATTTAACACATCCTCCAGCTCACATAGTTACTTTTTCTTGGGCATGGTGAGAACTTTTAAGATCTACTCTCCTAGCAACTTTTAGAGTATTGTTAACTATAGTCACCATGCCGTACATTAGATCCCCAGAACTTAAGTCATTTTATAACTAAAAGTTTGCACCCTTGAACCACTTTCATTCATTTCCCCCACCCCTGCCAACCACCAATCTACTCTGTTTCTATGAGTTTAGTGTTTTAGATTCCACATAGAAGTGAGAATATATAGTACTTATCTTTTTCTGTCTGACTTATTTCACTTAGATAATACACTCAAGGTTCATCCATGTTGTTACAAGTGGCAGAATTTCCTTTCCTTTTCTTTTTTTTTTGAGGAACATTAGCCCTGAGCTAACATCTGCTGCCAATCCTCCTCTTTTTGCTGAGGAAGAGTGGCCCTGAGCTAACATCCTTGCCCATCTTCCTCTACTTTATATGTGGGACATCTGCCACAGCATGGCTTGACAAGTGCTGCATAAATCCTCACCTGGGATCCGAACCAGCAAACCCCGGGGCCGCCAAAGCAGAATGTGCAAACTTAACCACTGTGCCACCGGGCTGGCCCCATGGATTTCCTTTTCTGTGACTAAATACTATTTTTTTTTTATTAATGTTATGATAGATTACAACCTTGTGAGATTTCAGTTGTACATTTTTGTTAGTCATGTTGTGGGTACACCACTTCCCCCTTTGTGCCCTCCCCCCACCCCCCCTTTTCCCTGGTAACCACCGATCAGATCTCCTTATCAATATACTAACTTCCACCTATGAGTGGAGTCATATAGAGTTCGTCTTTCTCTGACTGGCTTATTTCGCTTAACATAATACCCTCGAGGTCCATCCACGTTGCTGTGAATGGGCCAATTTTGTCTTTTTTTATGGCTGAGTAGTATTCCATTGTGTATATATACCACATCTTCTTGACTAAATACTATTTTATTGTGTGTGTGTGTGTGTGTGTATACACACACACACCACATTTTCTTTATCCATTCCTCTATTGATGGACACTCAGGTTGTTTCTCTGTCTTGACTATTGTGAATAATGTTCCAATGAACATGGAGATGCAAATATTTCTTTGAGATAGTGATTTTATTTCCTTCAGATAAATACCTAGAAGTGGGATTGCTGGATCATATGGTAGTTTTATTTTTAATTTTTTTGAGGAACCTCCATACTGTTCTCCATAGTGGCTATACTAATCTATACTTCTACCAACAATGTACAAAGGTTCTCTTTTCTTATTATCTGTTGTCTTTTACCAACTCTTATCAATGGAGAAGGCATGGCTTAAATCTGCATAACAAAACTTACTAACCAACCCTTGTTTACCATACTTTTCCTAGTCATCTTCCCATAACTTGCCTCCCCTGCCCAGAAGCCCAAAACTTCTTTTCCTCGTTTAGCCTAAAATGCTTTATATAAGCCCAAGTTCTAACCACTTCTTTGGGTTATTCATTGCTGGATGCTCCCATGTGTACCTGTGTGACACATGTTAGTAAACTTCTATTTGTTTTTTCTCTTAGTAATCTGTCTTTTGCCACACTCATTTACAGGGCTCCAGGTTTAGAACCTAAGATGGGTAGAGGACAGGATTTTTTTCCTTCCTTACAATGCACATTCATCTGGTGCATCCTGTCCCAGCCCTACCTCATGGGGCCTCTAAATAGATTCAAACAAGCCTGAATATTTAGAGTGAACACAGCTTAATCCATCTTCTTTGCCCTTTGTTGCAAATAATCACCTTGAGTCATTTTAGAAGGCTGTACATGCATCCCAATGACGTGATTTCTGTTCCTAAAAGTGATGTATCTTCCTGACTAGAATTATCTGTAGAGTCTGTGGAATAAAAATCATTTTAACTCTTAGTAAATATTCATTCTCAGAGTAATCTGGCCTTTGGAAATTGGAAAAAGTTATATAGATCTAATTCTAAAGAAAGAGCAGGTGAACAATATGGATGATAATAATAATGGTTGGGGTCAAACCTGAAATACTACTTAATAACTGTTTTATCTATTCATATCTGAGCCTCTGGAAACTGTCCCACAGTGGCTGATCCAAATCTTCTCTAGTTTCTTTAAATTTCAAACTCTCCCTAAAGCCTTCATGAACAATCAATAACCTGGTTTCCTAGGTCACTGAGAAGATGGAAGCTTGTTTGACTTCACTACTATCCATGTTAAGATTTCTCTGAATCCACACTCCCATCTCCTCTCTTAAAATCAGCTTCTCCTCATGTGGTTTGAGCATAGAGCCCACACAAGCACACTGTCCACAATTTCCTTCTGTAAATGGTTCGTTGCCATGTTTGCAGAGAAGCACACAATCTTTCTGCTTGTAATTTAAAATTAACCACACAAAGAATCAGGATCACACAAGTCTGAAGTATGTGAGCAGGAAGAGGCCTTCTTAGAAGTCCACTCATCTTATTCTCTCCTTTTAATAATGAGGCTAAGATCCAAGGAGAAAAAGTGACTTAAAAACCTGAGCCAATTGATGGCAAAGATGAAATCAGATCTTACAACAAATGCCTATCATTTTATGACTTCTTTTTTACTTTATATTGCCTCTTAAAAGGACTCAGAACAAGAGAAGGCATAGAAATAGTCGTTGGAAAAACATACATTCTTTCATTCTAAATGTTGATGAGAACTGTTACTTAACATGGTATTGGAAGTCCTAGCCAGAGCAATTAGGCAAG